CCTGCCAGGTTTTGAGGGCAGCAGGAAGGGTGCCACCCCAAGAGGAACTCAATGACAAATTTGAGCGACAGGAGTCAAGGGCCCACCATCGTGCGACGCGTGGTTTTTTTCGGTCATAGGAGACATACAGAGGATGGACGTTGGGCTCGTGCCGGATGATTTTCCGTTCGAAAACGATAATGCGCTCACCAATTGTCCAATGGCCATGAATTCGCCCAGCTTCAAAATCAAAAATGTGCATATGCGATTGTGCGGGTCACAGTCAAGGGCGGGATCTCATTCGATGACACTGGCCTGAAGCTGGCTGCCATGGCGCACCACCCTCCTTTACGATCCTCGTGCCAGCGCGTGAATATTGAATATCAGTGAAGATTGTGACGTTGGGAAGCAAGGCCGAAGAGTCTTTTGTTTATTTGGCCTTCACCGCAGTCGCCGCTTACGCATGACATGCCCATGCTGTAACAAGTGGACCTTCGCCACCACGTTTCTCCTTCCGCGCAGGATGCAAGTGCGAGTAGCTGCATGTCGGTTTTCTAAGGGAAAAATGAAGTTGACCCAAAACCTCACCACCACGCCCGTGCGGTCACACTTCTTCGAGGAGCAAGGAATCTGCAAGGAGTTACATTGCAATGCCTCTGGAGAATCTCGTGTTTAGTCAAAACTTGCAGGCAACCTTACAAAGGAAATCAGCGGAAGAACACATGGAGTGTCTACTGGACATGGCCACAACGAGTACAACTTCAAATTCACATCGGCGGAAAATGCCTAGCGCAGGATTCATTGCTTGCAGTCTTGGCGAGCTTGATATGTACCACGAAGGGATTGGGCGTGCATCGCCTACACAACGCCGAGCATGAATTCATTAGACGTGCTAAGTTCCCCCTGGCTCTTCAAGCAGGGTATTGCATGGGAAGATCGCCAGCGCAATGCCTTACCTGACTGAAGCTAAGCTCATTTCGATGAGAGGGCATCCTGCCTTATCCTGATGAATTCATATTATGTTACCTCATGATGGCCCCTGTGTTTGTTCTCAGCAGATTCTTCTAGCTGTCCAGACACTATAGTTTCCAGATTTCCTCCTAGGCACAGACTTGTCTAGCTGTCTAGATTTCAGATTGGAGGGTGGAGAGGCCGCGGCCTGGCAATCTAGAAATTCAGGGATTGAAGGAGGTAGGTCGTGTTTTTGATTTTGTGTTGGAGGGTGCTTTGAGAGTATGCTCATCTACTCCGCACCAATGCTTCCCGAGTCTAATGTTGTTCATCACGCAACAGTTGAATCTTACGAACACCCAATGCCTCACTTCCATGGGTGCAAGCCCCGAAATTCGTCACCGAGAACCTTCACATTGAATCCCTCAATGATGCAAACGATCCTGGCCCAGGGGGCTTGAAAGAATTTGAGGGGCTGCGCCCAGGTGCCGGCAACGCAGCATCAAACCGCGCGAGGTATGGGCAAGGGGTGGGGGGACTCCAACACTAAACCCTCAAGTCAAGGCCCACATCCCCGAGTATCCTGAGTAGGCAATCTTTATTGTGATATCCAGAAGACCTGGAGAACAGGAAATGGACGCAAGCGGAATGGAGAGGGGGGGGATTTATGATGGTCTCTGAAATCGAGTTCATAACTGGGCTCTCATTTGCAGCCAAGCCTTCTTACACTCTTCATATTGCTGGTTTTGTCAACCTTCGGACATTCTCCATCAAAGGCCAGGTCCATGTTCCCTTTGCAGCCCCCAACAACCACCCTTGGATCGGCCGAAACACCGCAACGCTGACACACGGCACGGCTAAAATTCCGATCCACCTGAAAAGGCTGAAATAGCATCATACAACTTACCAGACATTTTAGACACCTAGACAAAGCCATACCCTGCGCAAAGACCGCACCAAAAAAAACTATTAAACCCGCATACCCACCAAGCTTTCGGGGAAAAAAGACCATCGTAGCACATACACACACACACATCAAAACGGGATAGCCTCCGGGAGGGCACCCACAGGCAGCCTACTGTGGCCCACTGATTCTGGTGATGCTGGTGGAGAAGGCTAGCATCATCGGCATTGGGGCTCCGCTTCTCCACTGAGACCTCCCGAAGCTTCTCAAATTCGCTTGCCCGGGCCCGGATGGGCCAATGCCTCGAGCTTTGTGGAGAACACAGTCAGAGCTTGAGGGAAATTGCGAGCTCCGAAACCTATTCTCCCGCATGCAATGTCTTTTCAAGGTGTCGCACATTAAGTCCCAAGAGGCATCACATATTGGAAAGTCTCATCATTGAGAAAACCCTCAATACTTTACAAGCCAAGTGCAAGCCACACCACATCTCTGAGCTGGTGGCCTTACAAGTCATTGACCTGTAACAATTCAGGAAGCTCAGGCAAAAAAACAGGTGTGACGTTTGTAAGCCCTGTTGAAGTGTCTGTTCTCATGACTACCTCATCTGCTACACTGTTTCAGGTACGCGCCGAGCGTCGACCACTCGAATCCTCGAATCCGTTCGGACGTGAACGAGTACATCCGCTACTTAATGGATGAGGCTTGTGCAGCTTGGTGGTTGTGAACTAAGCTGAGAAACGGAGAAGCCGGTCGCAGATCGGCTTCCGCGCCCTGCGCTTCGACTTCGTAAAGGGCTACGCGCCCCGCTTCCAGACAGCCTCTTGACAAAATTGTGCTTGTTCTTTGAAGGGTTTTTGGAGCGCCACACGCTGGGTCAACTGCCGCCAGGACTACGTGCGGGCTGCCGGGGAACCTTTCTCCGTGGCTGAGAACTGGAATGGCGACGTGAACGGGCGCGGAGTTGCAAACCACAAGCCATCTTCACGTATGCTAAAACGCGAATCTTCCCGTGTTGAAGTGTTTGGATATTTGGAAGGCTCCACGACTACGTGCGGGAGTGCCAGGGCAAGATGGCTGTCTACGACTTCCCGTGACCTCCACACGAGTTCGTGACTGTAACTCTGCTCAAGATGTGGTGGCGGTTCGAGGCTGTATTATGTCCTCAAGCGCTGCATCCACAGCAACAACTTTGAGGCAGCGAATATGGCTTGATGTGAAGAGTGGCTGAAAGGCCAATGTAAAATCCGTGGAAAGCTTCTTTTGGTGCATCACGTACCCCACATAACCTC